TATTTCCAAGGAAAAAATTTTAAATGGGGGAGGGGGCATCCATCTAAGTAATGTCCATAGACACAGAGAATTATTCAAATAAGTAATTTCCTCAAGCCTATTTTCCATTTTCCTTCACAAAAATGAGATAGTTTCACTGCTTTTAAGTGCTGCACTGACAGCTAGAATCCTTGATTTTCAACTAGGATGGAGTTCCACATCCAGCTTTGCAACAAAAGGACTCCATCACTCAGCATATGAAAAAACAAAACAAAACAGAAAGCACTTTCATCCCCATATAAAGTGGGTCCCTTACATCCTCTTCCATGGGTGGGGCTGACAGGTGGGTTCTCAATAAGAAAACAGTATCTCCCACTGGGAGCTCATGCGCGCTTAGTCAGTGGCCAGATCTCACTGTCTGGAACTACTCCTGTAGCAACAGGATATGAGCCTCTCCCACACTGCTTCTATAGGGAATAAACACATTCCTGCCTCAGTATAGGCTGACGTTTTTGCTCAGTCCAAAGCAAGTATGGAAACCTATTTAAAATGCTCAGGAAAGGCTAGCACACTGAAAGATCCAGCAGCCAGTACTGTATTAATAAGCCAGCCCTCTAGAAAGTTTTGGGAATGAGGCATCACATGCCAAGGCAAGGAGCATGAAATACGTATCTAACACCTTGGGCAACTAGGTACCTGGGATTTCTCCCCACCATTAGGTAAGAAGGCATAGGCAGACGTCAGGCTTGTAAAACTTACTTAGTGTTTTATGAGAACTGCAAAGCATATCAGAGTCAGGTTCAAAATAACATTTGAGAAAATGAGATAAAGAACGGCAGGTCAAAGTTGCTCTCTGAGGGCACACTCCACTCAAGACTGCATTTTCTGAACTGAAACCGGAGGTCACACACAAACCCTTTCATACAAATCTTTTCATACACAACACTACTCTTGCTTTGCCATGAGCTTTCTTGATTTCAGTAGCCTAGGCTCAGGGCAAAGAAAGGCTTTATTGCCAGTATTGTTCAATCACTGCTAGTTTACTGCAGATGAAGGAGAGAGTATAAATCCCCCACTGCCCCCCAAAGATCTACCCTAGCTTTCCTGGCAATCTACCCACCCAAACTTTGAAACCCAGAGTCTGTGGGACCTATTCTCAGGTGACAGCTTGCACAACTGGAGTGGCCCAACAAGTAATAAACTCTACCTATATATACAGGTACCTTCGTTTCATTCCACTCTAATATATCTGAAAAACTGGATTACACAGGAATATAAAAGTTAGTCTTTAAGGTGCTACCATGTTCTTGGGTTTTGGTTCGGTTTGGTTTCTGGCTACACAAACCTAAAAGTTGTCCTCAATTTCTGCCAGGATTGTAATTATAACCCAAAATACTGATGAAGGAGAAGAGCATGAATGAGTGAACCAATAACAGCACAATCTTAAGCATCTCAACTGAAAAATCCCAGTGAGTTCCTTGGGACTTGCTACCTAGCAATAGCTTTAAAACTGCAGGACAGAAGGAATACATTTTGAATCCAATTTGGTATCATGAGCTCATTCAGTTTCTGAACACTTTGCCCCTCAAACTGTCTTGTCTATCTTCTTTTGAAAAATAATACTGACAGACCTGCACGACTACATTGGTCAGTTGCCAAGCAGTTAATAAAACACTTTATGAAATTATTTACTTGGGTGTTTTTGCCCATCGTAATTCATTTCCTCAAAGTTTGTACTTCTGTCGTTTTTTAAAAGCCCTCCCCTTCTGCCCCCTGTTCTCTAGCCTGGCAGGAAGTGTTTGCAGAAAGCAGAGTCATTAAGGTAATGGGGAGACAAGCAAGCCAGCAGGTGATCCTCAAGCTCCCCACACCCTCCTCCCAAACCCTGTCAGATTTCTGGGGTACAGCAAAAGCAAGGCAAAGAGAAAAAAAAACTTGCACAGAACAATGCTATTATGGTTGTCTTGGTGAAGGAACAATCATTTTCTGAGGCCTGAAAGGAAGTCTTTCAGATGCTAATGAAGGGCAACAAATTTATCCCCCACCATGTTAAGATACAGATGCACACACCCATATTTCCAAGGAAAAAATTTTAAATGGGGGAGGGGGCATCCATCTAAGTAATGTCCACTGTCACAGAGAATTATTCAAATAAGTAATTTCCTCAAGCCTATTTTCCATTTTCCTTCACAAAAATGAGATAGTTTCACTGCTTTTAAGTGCTGCACTGACAGCTAGAATCCTTGATTTTCAACTAGGATGGAGTTCCACATCCAGCTTTGCAACAAAAGGACTCCATCACTCAGCATATGAAAAAACAAAACAAAACAGAAAGCACTTTCATCCCCATATAAAGTGGGTCCCTTACATCCTCTTCCATGGGTGGGGCTGACAGGTGGGTTCTCAATAAGAAAACAGTATCTCCCACTGGGAGCTCATGCGCGCTTAGTCAGTGGCCAGATCTCACTGTCTGGAACTACTCCTGTAGCAACAGGATATGAGCCTCTCCCACACTGCTTCTATAGGGAATAAACACATTCCTGCCTCAGTATAGGCTGACGTTTTTGCTCAGTCCAAAGCAAGTATGGAAACCTATTTAAAATGCTCAGGAAAGGCTAGCACACTGAAAGATCCAGCAGCCAGTACTGTATTAATAAGCCAGCCCTCTAGAAATGCTTGGGAATGAGGCATCACATGCCAAGGCAAGGAGCATGAAATACGTATCTAACACCTTGGGCAACTAGGTACCTGGGATTTCTCCCCACCATTAGGTAAGAAGGCATAGGCAGACGTCAGGCTTGTAAGACTTACTTAGTGTTTTATGAGAACTGCAAAGCATATCAGAGTCAGGTTCAAAATAACATTTGAGAAAATGAGATAAAGAACGGCAGGTCAAAGTTGCTCTCTGAGGGCACACTCCACTCAAGACTGCATTTTCTGAACTGAAACCGGAGGTCACACACAAACCCTTTCATACAAATCTTTTCATACACAACACTACTCTTGCTTTGCCATGAGCTTTCTTGATTTCAGTAGCCTAGGCTCAGGGCAAAGAAAGGCTTTATTGCCAGTATTGTTCAATCACTGCTAGTTTACTGCAGATGAAGGAGAGAGTATAAATCCCCCACTGCCCCCCAAAGATCTACCCTAGCTTTCCTGGCAATCTACCCACCCAAACTTTGAAACCCAGAGTCTGTGGGACCTATTCTCAGGTGACAGCTTGCACAACTGGAGTGGCATCAAAGAGCAAGGAAGGAAGCCCCTCCTCAACCAGGGCATAGTCATACCAATAGTCTCCTACTACAGGCTGGAAAGCAAAAGAGGATGAAAAGGAAGGATTAAGGGACAGGAGAGAATGGGCTCATTACCATTCAGAGGGGACATCCCTGCTTCTAGGCCCTTCCCCCCTTTGAAGCAGTTTAGGGCTGTAAAAAGGGGGGAGGCAGAAGTGCTGCCGATGAAAGAACAGCAGCCCTCTAGATCTGCAGCTGTGAGCAACTTCGTTCATGATCATTTCTGGCCACTCCCTAAACTGCAGCTGGATGCCACATGAGAAAACACAGATACCCAACAATATATATGTACTGTATATATATACTGTATTCTAAAGATGAGCGTAAAGGCTTTGGCAGAAGAAAACAAGCAGGCAAAGGAAGTACCCCCTGTGGGCTGTGGGTTTATTCTGGATGTAATGCCCCTCCCCTTCTGCCCCCTGTTCTCTAGCCTGGCAGGAAGTGTTTGAAGAAAGCAGAGTCATTAAGGTAATGGGGAGACAAGCAAGCCAGCAGGTGATCCTCAAGCTCCCCACACCCTCCTCCCAAACCCTGTCAGATTTCTGGGGTACAGCAAAAGCAAGGCAAAGAGAAAAAAAACCCCGCGAATCCTGTGAGCTCATTTAAGTGAGGGTCCGCAGCAGTTCCAGCCTGCGCGCTAAGGGGGCTGCTTCTCCTGGGGCAAGGCAACACGACCGACCGTTGTCATATCATCTGTGCAGACGCAGTCACCCCCAGTCACCCAAGCTTTCTGCCCCCAGAGATCCCTTCACTGGGGACCCGTCCTAAAACCTCTCGCCATGAACCGCTCTTTGCGGGGGGGGAATCGTCTTCCAAAACTGGAGGACTAACAACAAAGGGGAGGAGTCAAAAATATATAAACCCTCAGAAGGAAACCCACATGCTTGAAGAACACCAGTGGCGACTCCCTTCCTCCCCCAACGTAAGACGGTTCCCCCGGCTCTCCGCCTCCACCCAGTTAGAGACACACCCCACGAACTAGCGACCCTGCCGCCCCAGAGGCCCCTTTCCCGAACACGCGTCGCCTTCCCGGAGCGCCGGATCTTCACCTGCCACACGCCCTTCAGAGCTCGCCTTCCCAAAGGACGGGCCACCTCCCAAAAGACTGCCCCCGCCTCCCGGTCGCCCACCCAGGATCCTGGGCGGCCCTCTTTTACGTGGAAATAAACAAAGCTGAGGGGGGGGGAAGAGGACAGAGTGAGTTGTGGGGGGGCCCTCCTCCACCCCTGCACTTTGGAGACTCGGCTTTCCAGCGGCGGCGGCAGCAGCTGCAGCCGAGTTCCGGGAAAGGAGGCAAAAAGAGCAGCCGCCGCCTGCGGAGCCCAGAGGGGAGGGCGGCTCCGGGTGACCAGGCTCCCTAACGTCAGGCTGCAGCTAGCACTCGTTCCTCCCCCCCTTCCCGTGACACACACACAGAGACTCCACCCCGCCCCCGTCCACACATGTTCCCTGGGACACGCTTGCTGAGCTACCGCAGTAGCGGCGCCGCTTGCCTCCAGCGACACCTGAAGCGGCCCTTTCCCATCGGGTGAGCGAGCGAGCGAGGGGACCCACCGACGCCCAAGGCCCATCCACCCGCTCACTCACCGCTAACACATTACTTTGCAGGCAAAAAGAATCGACCGTCGGGCAATTTATCCCCACCACCCAAAACACACACACACACACACATAACACACAAATACTGTAGCAAAATAGGCTCGGGCGGGAGGAGGAGGTTTCACTCACCTAATGTCGGCGGCTGATCCCCCGCCCCGCCCCCTGCCCCCAACGAGGCTCTTTGGGTCGCAAGGCAGGAGGAGAGCAAGGCTGGGCTTCCTGCAGGGAGTGAAGCGGGGCTTGGCAAAGGACGCGTGGAGAGGAATGCAAAGTTTGCACGGAGGGCGGGCAGCCGGCTGGTGGAAGGTGCAGGGAAAATCCCCGACGCCGACGTCCCTTTCGCCTCCACCCGCTCTTCGTCAGTTCTCTGTTGGCCCGACGCAGAGGTGAACTTTCCACCTAGGCGGCGGAGGAGCCCCCGGCTTGTAGCGCCCTCCTCGCATTGGCACCGAACGCCAAGGCCGGCTGGCTGAGGTGGCTGAGGTGGCTGTTGTTGTTGTTGTTGTTGCTGCTGCTGCTGCTGCTGCTGTGACGGCGGCGTCGGGTCGGACAATTGTATGTATGTCTGTGTGTGTGAAGGGGGGCGGTGCATGTGTGCGCACACGAGCCGAGTCCCAGGCACGGAGCGAGCAGCACACGCCCAAACTCCGCTCGTCGTCGCTGCCGCCGCCGCCCACCAGCCCCTCGCAACCCTCCCGGAGCAGCTGATAGGCGCTCCGCCTCAACCTCGGGGCGCCCGGCCGCGGCTCCTCCGCTCCTCCGACCTCGTGGTGGGCTGCAGGCCCTGTCAATCACGCCCAGAGTTGTTGCCGCCGCCCCTCCCGCTGCCGCCGCCGCCGCCGCCGCTTTGGCCTTGGGCCCTGGGAGGTCTGTGCTGGCTCGAGCGGGAGGAAGTAAACGGGCGTCATGCTGGGAGAGAACTCGAGTGCTTCTGGCAGAGCTTATTTTTTAGAGCACACAGCTTCCTCCAGTCAAAGAAGCCCTTTGCTCCCTTTCTGCTGCGGATAAGGCGATGGGAGGGGGAAGTGCGGATGAGGCGGCGGGGAGGGGGGGAAGCGCCTGCCTCTTTCCTCTTCCTCTCCATGGCCAGGCTTCCCTCTGTCCCTGTCTGTCCCTCTCCCTTGCTCGGCAAAGGTTCCCCTCGGCAGTGTCCCCATTTCCTGCCACTGCTTTTCTTCTTCCTTTTTTTTTTTAACAACGCACAGCAACACACTCTTTGCTGTGTAAATGGTCGGGGTGTCGCACCGCTGGCTCTGCGTGTCCGCCTGCGCCTCCTTGCTGCCGCCCCACCATTAGGGCCTATGGGTCACACCCGCCTGCCTGCCTGCCTGCCCGCCCACCCGCCGGCGTCGTTGTCTCCTTGTGCGCGGCGGGCGGGCGGGAGACGGCGAAGTGCCAGGCTGTGAAATGAGCCGGGGTGTGAGGCGACCACACCCGCCTTGGGGGAGGGGGAGGTTGTGTGTGTGGAAATCACACAAAGGAAGGAAACCAGCGAGGGTCCTTCGCGTTCCCTTCCCGCCCCTGATTCCTTTCGTCTGAATGAAAACATTGTCGCCCTCGAAGGGTGTTTCCGCAAAAACGCGTCAGTGAGGGACTCTGTGGCACATTCCCAACGGTGATGATGGTTCGTTGAAGTCCTGAACAGGGGGAAACAGCTTTTAGGTTTGTCCTCATCCTGATTTAAGGAGAACACCGCGTGTCGTTAAAAGGTTCCTAAGTGATTTCGAGCCTTCAAGAGGGCGGAAGGGATGGTAATGGATCGCCTGTCCACTTTTTCTCCCCTTTCAAAGCATGTTTACGAACACATTCTCGCCCAGTATAAATGACTGTACTGTCTAATTATGTACTGTATTTTGTGAGAGGCTATGATTGGCCATCAATGTTGCACATCTCTTTGGTAAACCTCTCTGTCTAGGATGGAGTTTTATCTCAGCACGTCGTTTGGGTGTGGGTGTGGGGGGAATTTATGCTAAAAGCTGAAAGCTCCTTTGAGATTACTGCTCCTCTAGGACTGCAGTGAGACCCAGTGTAGCCTAGTGAATAAAGTGATGGATTAGAATTCAGGAAAACTGGGTTTAAATTCCCACTAAGATGTTGAAACTCATGGCACTGGTAAAGCCACTAGAATTGTTTCATATACTGTACCTTGAAAATCCTATTAAGATGCAGAATGAGAGCATCTAACATGCTGCTGCAGGTAATGGCTTGGGACGTACATTTCCCCATAGGAGTGGCAGTGTGGTGCAGTGGTTAGAGGGCTGGCCTAGCTGCAACTTGGGAAATGCCCCCGTTTTCCTGCACCTTCTCCTTCCTGTAAAGTTGCACGTTGTAACCACGTGACATATACCCCATGATAGAGGTTCCTTCATTTTTAAACTGTTTTGCCTTTTTTAGTTTAATTAGATGTGGTATGTTTGTCTACACGCTGCAGTGGGGCATATCCCTCTTTTTGTATATTTCTCTGCCCCCGTTCCCTCCCCCCTTTTAAAATTTTGTGCAGGTACACCTGTGTGTTGGCAAAACACCCTTGCGGGCCACATACTGACCAGGAGCATTTTTTTTTCATTTTTCCACACTGCATGACCCTCAACGGTGGAGACCCCACAGCCCTTTTGACAGAAGCATACCAATTAACCAACATTTCCATTTCAAAAATATTTTGAAAAAAATTAAGGGAGTCACACGACAGCTGATGATGGTGGTGGAACTCCACATCAGATGTGAAGGAAATGAATCAGTTTTGTATGGAATGCCAGCTAGTACTGTACAGAGCAAATATAGTAGTAGCTTCCCAGCAGGCTGGATTTGATGCGGAGATAAAAGAATCAGTAATTGTCATGCGTTGTCTGACCCCCCCCCCAAAAAAAGAGTTGAAACTCACGAGTAGTAACTCAGAAACCTTTTGCTGGTGTGACTGCAGCTGAAGTTAGGGTTACTGTGATCATAAAGTTGTGGGAGAGAAGAAATGCATATACTGGCTTTAGCTCATTTGTAGCAAATGTAAGGATATAACTGTGAATCAAAATAAAATCAATAAACCAAAGTGATACACTTGTGGACACCATTAGGATGGGGGGCGAAAGGTGTGGTCTGATCCCAGTGATTGTAGCATCTCAGCTGCAGGAAAATGCATGTCTTTATGGAATCTTTTGCCTGCTTCATTTTACAAAGGAAAGGCTCGCCCTTACTTGTTGATTCTACTTGCTTATGCTGAAGTACAACCTGCTTCTTTAACATTTCTCAGAATTATCACATACTGCAATATATACCTTTGTGTCTCATAATAATCTCAAAACTATGTCAGCTGGCAGAAGGTAAGGTTTCCACACCACAGCACTTTTTAGCAGAGGTCTAGCTAGCCCATGCAAATGTGGGATAACATATGCAAATCAGTCCACTTATGTGTAAATTATTTTGGTTTGCCTAAAATTGATCTGTAGCATTTATCATCAAATATGTTTTTCTTTTCATCCCTCAATTTTTGGCACGGAATACTGTAATTTATAAGCAAATGGCCTGTTTTTGAAGGAAACTATTACTGTCTGCTGAGATAATATATACAGCCCATGTAAAGCACAAATATTTCTGGACAGTGGTTTAATTTTAGTTTGGTCTAGTTTAGAATCCCTGTGTGATTTCCAGTATATGCTTGCAATGACAAAGATTGTTTTTGCTTAATTAAGACTGTTTCTAAAAGACTATAATAGCAAGTTTATATGGGATTGGATGACACAAATTCTGTATGACAAGTAAAATCATAGAAGATCAGTGACTCCAATCCTATCTCACAGGCTTTCAATCTAGTGAAAATGAAATTACTAGTGTGATTAAAGCTATTTAGTCTATGATTTAACAATCCTGGAATTACAGTACAAGAAGACTAAAAAATAAGCTGTAAATGCTTCTGATGTTAAACCATATTATATAGCTTGTTTATTTATTAAGAATTTTAAGCTATGTTTCACCCTAATAGATTCCTAGATAGTGTATATTAAAAATTCAGAATTACAAATAGAATATTATGGAAAAACAAATAAGTAATGCAAACAATAAAGATGAGAGGCAGCAAGCAATAAAAATATTACAAGCAAAAACAATTGTCATTTAAAATGCCTTTGTCGGTAAATAAAATGTTTTGATGTGGTGCCAAAAAAGACTCTAATGTTGGTTTCAGCTGAACTTCCTTAAGCAAGGGTTTTTGAAAGTCAGGGTGCCACCGTTCTGCAAGAGAATAGGGTAGCAACTCCAGCTCTCTGTAATTTTGTGAAGCACTGGAAGTTTTTCAGTCATTGGGTGCTCAGTGTGGAAGGTTGGAAACATTTCTTAACTGGTATGATTTTCCTCCTGCTTGCTACCCACATAGGGGATTTCCTTCTGTCTCTAATAACTGGGAACACAAATAAGGAGAACATGGATATTCTGTTGATGACATATGACAAATTGATATGCTATTGACAACAGGCATGTCCAGCTTGCATATTGCATACGATATGCAAGCTGGACATGCCTGTTATGGACAGCAGTTGGCTAACTGGCAACTCTACCTTCACATGCCAATAAAATGCATACTTACAAACATTTCTTGTTATGTCTACTGTAAACTGACTTACAAACATTTCTTGCTATGTCTACTGTAAGTTGTATAATTTATGTATTACCTGAGAGTGTTCTCATTACTTCACACAAACTTGCACAGTAGGGTACCACAACTCTATAAAGAAGGTGAAAGTCACCACTCCCTGTATGTGTCTTCCAGTCCTAACTCCAAACATTGGCAGCAAAAATGTTATGCTGGACTTTTAAGTGAGTACAGCTAAGAGGTCAAAGAAATATCTCATTCCACCTAGGGGCAAGAGAAACCCATAGCTAAGTGGACACATTTGACGCACCAAAAAGCTCAGTATCTCTAGGCCGGGCTGGGAAAAACTTGGTCCTAGCTGAAGCCCACTGCAAGTGTAGACAGTAATCCTGAGCAAAATCAACATTCTCCCCGATGGCCCCAAATTGGGGGGGGGGGGGACTGGGCCCGTGCTGGGAGCGCCATGGATGTTTGGGACGACATGTTGTATAGTACATTTTTAGTGTTGAAGGCTCTTGGTAAAAAAAAAAAAATCAAGAAATAGGGATTTAGGATGTACTGAATGGGGCTACACTGCCCATGAAAACTCAGCTTTGCAGTTTGGCTGTGCTACTGCTGCATTCATCCCTGGAGCTGGATGCCCAGTTGTCAGTGGTGACTAGGAGCACATTTTCACAATTAATCCTAGTGCATTAGTTGCACCCCTTCCTAGAGGTGTCTGGTTTTGCTGTAGTGACCATGGCTTAGTTATTTCCTGCTTTGTTTACTTTAACATGCTGTACATGGAGCCGCCTTTGGAGACTATGCAGAAGCTTCAGCTGGGCTCAAGCGCTGCAGCCAGATTGTTGAAGAAGGGACAATGACAGGCACAGATCAGTCCTTTGTTAGAACAGTTTTACTGCCCATTCCTTTGTTTCCAGACACAATTCAAGGTCCTGGTTGAGATTTGCATGTCCGATACAGCAGTGGTCCCCAACCTTGGGCCTCCAGATGTTCATGGACTTAAACTCCCAGAAATCCTAGCCAGCAGAAATGGTGGTGAAGGCTTCTGGGAGTTGTAGTCCAAGAACATCTGGAGGCCCAAGGTTGAGGACCACTGCGATGCAGTATACACTTTAGGTACAGACTATCTGAAACATTGTATTCTCCCATGCAAGCCTGTCCAGGCTTTGAGATCAGTGGGTGTAGTGTTCACCCTAAG